AAGATTGTAGGTCGAGAAGAGTTTATTTACGTCATTTATGAAAGTTTAGACATCTCAGTCATGAAGGTGACATCATCAGACTTTAAGCTGAACTCTGTAGTAAAACCCTCCATGTTCAGGTGTGGTTGTGTAAAAAAAGAGTTAAAAGTTCTGAAAACGGTTCAGTCCAACTTCCTGTGACCCGTTTAAACTGAGTGATGGTTCTAAAGTCTGAGCTGGAGGTCCAAACAGCACTGGGTTTTAACAACAAATTACAGCGTTGTTTATGAGGAGAACGTTTCAGTTTTAGTGAGTTTCACCTACGTCCTGCAACGTTCTGCACATTTTAATTCTTATTTTTCTGATGTAAATACTTCACATAACCAGAAGAAGAATGAGCAGATGGTCACACAGGTGTTTATTACGGGCGTCCTTGATAAACGGGTCGTTCTCCACCCATCTGAACATTTTATTGGAGCTGAAAACGTGTTGGTTCAAGATCTTGTTCCAAGAAATACTTTGTTGTTTTATGTAAGTTCTAACACAAAGTTTGATTTTTACGGAGAAGCTTCATGAAAATCGCTGAGAGCTTCTATAGTCTGTGATGCAAGCAGGTCCACGTTTCTGGTTCCCCTGTTCGGACCTCAGACTGAGTTTCCACACCATAACTGTGCGCTGAAACAATCACCGGTTCTGAGCCAAACCTTCGTCATTTTCTTTAACGAGGCCGGGATCTGATTAGATCCTGATGTGTGTCTGCACAGGAAGCCTGATCTGAGATCTCTGAACGTTCAGGAGAACCGCTTCAGAACCGAATCAGTTTGTATCTGTCGTGTTTTCATTTCGTAAAAGGAAGTCGAACTTGTGAGCTGACCGCTTCACCACCGAACGGTTTAATTCTGTGAAGTGAATTGTCCAAAGAGGGAAACTGGTTTGTGGTGGTTAAAAATTTGATGGTGAAATTGTCGAAATTACAGCTTGAAAGTTTCAACGTTAAAGGTCCTGAAGAGGTCCGGTCTTGTTCCTGTCGGGTGCTGGTCTTCTCTCTGAAGATCCCAGACGTCTGTGATGGCTTTGAACCAGCTGGAGCCCGTTGTGCTCCCACTCTGAGGAGTTTCCTCCGTCCGGCTCGTTTGAAACCTGGAAGTCACCGGGGGGAACTTGTGGGCCGACGGTGCCGAGGAGTTGCCTCGGCGTGGCTGGAGGTCAAACACCGCGAGAAGGTTTTGATGCCAGGAAACATTTTGAAACAAGGTGCAACCCTGAAACGTGACATCATCAGCTAAAAATATCTGATTTATTTGACTTTAGACGTGAGCTGCAGGACTTTTTCCTTTTGTTTTGACTTTAAATACTCCCGGATTCATCAGCTAGCATTAAAAGAAAGAAAACATTTTAATGTTTATTAAGAATTGATGCAATAATTAGCGTTTAATTTAAAAACTGTTTGACTGTATGGAAGAGAAACACATCCATTAACAGTCCCAGATTAATTTCCATCCATCCATCCATCCATCCATCCATCCATCCATCCATCCATCCACTATCTTCCACTTGTTCCAAAGTAAGGTCTCGGGGGCAGCAGTTTGAGCAGGGAGGTCCAGACATCTCTGTCCACAGTCTCTTCCAGCTCTTCTGGGAGAACTCCAATATGTTCCCAGGCCAACCAAGAGACGTAGCCTCTCCAGCGTGTCCTGGGTCTTTCCCAGGGTCTCCTCCCAGTCAGACATGCCCGAACCATCTCAACTGGCTCCTCTCGTTGTGGAGGAGCAGTGGTTCTACTCTGAGTCTCTCCTGATAACTGAACTTCTCCCCCTGTCTCTAAGGGAGAGTCCAGCTCTGCAGAGGAAACTCATTTCAACCTCCTGGATCCACAATCTCATTCTTTCAGTCACTGACCAGAGTTCATGACCAGAGGTGAGGGGAGGAACGTAGACTGACCGGTAAACTGAGAGCTTTACCTTACAGCTCAGCTCCTTCTTCACCACAGTGGACTGGCACAGAGTCCACAATACTGCATACACTGCACCAATCCATCGGTCAATCTCACGCTCCATTCTTCCCTCACTTGTGAACAAAACCCCGAGATACTTGAACTCCTCCACTTGAGGCAGAACCTCACCCTCAACCTGAAGATCAATCCACCCTTTTCTGACTGAGGACCATGGTCTCAGATTTGGAGGTGCTGATCCTCACCCCAGCTGCTTCACACTCAGCTGTGAACCGCTCCAGTGAGAGCTGAAGATCACGGCACGATGACGCCAACAGGACCACATCATCTGCAAAGAGCAGAGGTGAATCCTGAGGCCACAGAACCGGACTCCCTCCACCCCCTGGCTGCACCGAGAAGTTCTGTCCATAAAAGTTATGAACAGAATCGGTGACAACGAGCAGCCCTGGTGGAGTCCAACTTGCTACCGGCAATGAGAACCAAACTCTCGCACCGCTCGAACGGGGACTGAACAGCCCGTAACAATGGGTCCCCAATCCCATACTCAGATTAATTAATTTAGTTTATATTTAGAAGCTCCGGGATAATTCCGTGTACAACAGAAATATTTCCTGTAGTTTCTGGTGTTTGTTCTGTTTTTATCAGACGAATTATCTGAGCGCTGAAGGCTTTAGTTTCTGTCTTGCTGTTGAACCTCGTGTGAGCTCATGTTTGATTCTTCTTTCTGATTAACAAAGCAGCCGTTCGATTTGGCAGCTCAGCAGAGTTTCTTTTCTTTTTTCCTGCAGAAAAGACTTTAATCTTGGAGCTCCGGCTCATTTGAGAAAAGTTTTCCAGCGCCGTCATGATGACTGTCGACATCCTCTGACCCTGCGTTTCTGCCTCTTGTTTTTACTGCTTCCCTTCCTCCTGGATTTATTCCCGTCTGTTCGACTTCTGAATTTGCAGCTTTGCTAACAGGAACGTGGGATTTGTGATCAGTATTTTCCTGTTTGAGTCGTCCTTTTTAAGACGTCTGCTACTGAACTAAATGATCCTGAACCTCAGGCGTTCGGGGGAAAATCTTATGATTGACTTGGTTTTTCTGAGTGCGGTTCCGACCCACATTTTCTCCTGACTTGCTCAGTGAACTGTCTTCATGGCTCCACGTTGTCTCCGAGGCCTGAGGCCTTTGACTGATAACACGAATGATACCCTGAATGCGCAGACAGAGACACTCTCACTCCTCGTTTGGCCACGAGTCAAACGTTTGTCAAACAGAATATTTGTGTTAACTACAGTCAGCCTTAGTGTCTGTTAGCAAAATATCTCATGAACCAGAGGACAGACTGAGTGAAACTCACAAAGTAATAATTGGGTTTATGTCCACATCCCATGAACAATTCAAGATGGAGGCCACACCTAAAAGCTTCCTGAACGAGAAGCAAAACGACTTCAACTACTTGAATTGTTTTTAAAAACATTTTGACCCGGATGACTGAGAATCTGCACCAGCACACAGAACCTACCAAAAGTAGTCCCAGGAGGAAAAACCAGAACCAGAGACGGAACCATGGACTACCATCAGTTAATGGATGAACGTGGAGGCTGAAGGCTGGTGGCGTTCTGATCCAAAAAGCAGTTCCTGGTGGTTCAGAAAAAAAGGAGTCGGAACTCAAAGACCTTCGTAAGTCGTTGTTCTTGGATCCACCACTTCTCCCACATCAGAACTGGATCAGAGCGCTATGAGGGACGGTGTCCTGGTCCGGTGACAATCATGACGTCCATCTGAGGCTCTTACCTGGACAACATGTGGCACCAGGATGCATTATGGGAAGACAATTAGCCAGAAGAAGCTGTGTTTCCTGGAGGCTGGGGTTTCTATACGCTTCAAGAACCAGTCTGAGGTTTGGACTCCAAACTCTTCAGACCACAGTCCAACTGTGTATCTGTGGGATGCTCTGGACCATCACTGTGGACGGCCTACCTCACAGCTTTTAAGACTTAAAACTGCTGCAGACAGCTGAACACCAGATCCCAGCAGACCTTCTGAGGTCCACAAGAGTCTATGACGAGATGGGTCAGAGCAGATCTCCTCAGTGCCATGGAGGTGGTCATAATGTTGTGGCTAATTGTTGAGCAAAACAAGAAATTGTTAAAAACAATGAAACAAATTTACAGTAATAAAACTGGACCTCGGAGCCTCGTTTGACTGAATTCATCATAAAAACACACCTTTACCTGGAATGTTTTATTATTTTATCCATCAACCTCCAGAAAAATCCACAAACTAAAGTTCTTCCCAGCAGTAAAAGAAAAACAGTTTAACAAAGTTTTACATTTAGGGAACGGACTTCAATTAAAAGAAGTCCCGGTGCGAGCGTTGTTCCCAGCAGGGACGAGTCGTTTTGTCGTTTCCAGCCGAAGCCACGAAGCTCGACTTCGGCTGCTCAGGAGGAAGCCGAGGTTCTGTCTGAGGCCAGAGCAGGAATATGAACAAAGACGTGTTCTGACGGACACGTGTCTGCTGGGACAGGCTTCGACACCATCCCTGATCCTCCAGAACTCCCCTCACGTTGGACCTTTTGTGAAGGAGAGCCGTGGAGGAACCACAGCCGAGAACTGGAACATGGAGGAGCTCGCTGTGGTCTCACTGCAGACATTCTTTCCACGTCTTTATTAGTGTTCGACTGTTTCTGCTGCGGGGATTCTTTCCACTTTAACGTCTCACCAAAGGAGACAGATGTGTTTGATTTTTCTGAAGCCTGGAGGAGTTCTGTCATCGTTCTAAAGTCTGACCCGGACCACAGGTCCGGGCAGAACATGTTACCAAACCCCTGAATGACAAGCTGGGAGCCAGGGGAAGAAAATATCACACAGAACTTGTAAAAAAAAAAAAGAGTCCAAACAAATCTGACAGAACTTTCCCAGAAGGCAAATTCCACCATCGACAGTTACATTTCTGCATGTACACGATATACATTTAGACGTTTCTTGTCACGTCGTTCTCGTCCCATCAGGAGGAGATTATGAGGGAGATTAACGTCCTGCAATCCAAAGCGTTTTGTGTCTCAAGGCTTCAAACGAACGTTTATCGTTTGGTTTTCTGAGGTTTTAAAACCACGCTCGAAGCAGAGCGTACACAGGAGAAGGCTGACGGGGAGATCTTCTGGGGGTCCAGGTAGTTGTTTTCCATCCTCAGACCCACCAGAGGGGTTTCCTGGTCCTGGTTCGGGTCACAGATGCTTTCGTCAGAGATGCTCCTGGAAGTCACAGCAGGACACGATCAGAGAATTTAAAGACGAAACTGCAGCTTTTACAGGAGAAAAGCTGCTGAAACGAACAGTTCTTTTCATATTTAAAACCTTTTGTTGTAAAATGATGTCAAATCGGTGAAATCGTTTGTGAATTTATCTGCAAAACATCTAGTTATCTAAAAAAACAAGTATTGTAGCGACCCTTGACTTGATTAGAACAAACCAAATTTAACATGAAGTATTACGCAGCACCTGGTTTCCTTCACTAATGAAAAGATTAAAATTGTGTTGCTGAGTTTAAATAAAGTCTGTGTCCTCCTGGCTGTGAAGACCTGTTTTAAACCCTAAATGTTTTTTTTTTTTTATAAAAACACGAGGCTGCTGGTGTTTAACGAGCGGATTCAGGGTGACGCTCAGATGGAAACTTTAGTTTGTTTTGTTTCCTGTCGTCATGACGACCTTCCATCCAGTGAACTTTCAGCATCATGTGAAGAGTCAGTCCTTTGCCCCGACCCTCACTGTTGCTGCTAATAAATTAAAGTTACCTGCTTTTATTCAGTTATGGTCAACGGAACTCATTTAGTTTATGTAGACACAGGCCGTTACTTGGTGATAATTATTTTGATCCATGTTGCACTTCCTTCAGGGAGGTTTTATAAACGTGAGAACGTCACATGAAAGTAAAAGTTTTAATGTAGTAACGGCCGAGACACACGAGTGATGGTGGCTCTTTCATCGACAAGTTAAGTACAAGAAGGTGTGTGTCAACAGTATTAGCACCGGTAATAAAGTTCTTTTGCTTTTTAGTACTAACTTTTTTCTTTAGGCTTTTCCTTCTTCGAGGGTCTCCATCACGATTCATCCTCCTCCTTCTCACTCTGTCCTCTCTGTCTTCTGACCTCTGCATCCTCTGTCCTCACTCCAACTACCTCCATGTCCTCTCCAACTGCATCCATGTATCTCCTCTTTGTCTTTTTTCTGGCAGCTGCATCTCTAACATCCCTCTACCAATATACCCCCTGTCCCTCCTCTGGACTTGTCCAAAACACTGTCCCTCCTCTGGACATGTCCAAACCATCTCAGTCTGGCCTCTCTAACTTTAGTTTGGACAAACTTGTGTTTGTTTTGGCCAAAGAGTTTTATGCCGGTGCCCCTCCCAACACGACCCTCTCCATTTACTTGGGTTTGGGATCAGGAGATGCTCTGACTTGTCCTCCAGAGGCTGGTTTAAGGTATATTTTATATAAACTATATTTTTGTTTGCTATAACTGGTTCAAAAAAGGTGGTTTACTGAATTTTCCTTTACTATAATTTAATATTTATGTCTTGTGTTGTCACTTCATCTTTAGCCGTGGCAAACTGTAACTATAGATGCCTTCGGTTATGATGTAATATTGAAACACCCTATTAAATGCTGATGTTGAAGACTCTGCAGAGACTTGATTCAGTGACATCACTTTACGTTAAGTTTTGTATTTCAGTGACTCGCTGACAGGAATGGCTTCTCTTTATATCATCAATATGACATCTGACTTGTGGTGTCATTTTTTACAGTCACTAACGACAACCTGAGCTTAAACACCAACCCAACGCGGAACAGAACAACCAACAGGGATGACCCATCTGAACACAGAACCTGAACGAGTCCACCCATTTCTGTCCCAAGATTACCCAGAAGGCCCTGCAGATCACCCAGTCTCTTGCATTTGAGTGCAACATGTAATTTCAATAATTCAGACTAAAATTAAACAGTAACCCACAGAACTAACTGCTTCTGTAGAAGTTCATCACGCAGTGAAACCAAAATACAACTGTACACTGCAAATGATCAGTGTAAACCTAAATCTTATTTAAACTTCAGTTTTAAAGCGACTGTGTAGATTTTTGAATTTACAGGTTGCAGTTTGATTGCATCACAAATCTTCACGTGGTTGGAAAAAAAAAAAACGCTATGCAAGGCCTTCCCCGAGGCTCAGAGCGCCGTGGTTTGGTCCCACCCACTCTACCTCAGCATTCTGATTGGTTAATTTCCTGACAGTTACTGATCAAACTCCTGTTGAAGAGCCTCTGACTGAGCTCAGCCTTCTCTCCTCACAGTGAAGTCCTACCCAATGAGAGCGCCTGCTGTTCCTACTGACAAACATTTAAAAGAATCTGACTGGATAAATGTATTTGCACGAATCAAATAACATTTCTTGCTAAACTGCAACGTAGTTTACATAAAATAAGAGAAATGAACAAAGAATAGGAAAAACTAGACTGAAAATATTTATGTGATACAAAATAAATATTAAAATTAATTTGTTACATTTTATATGTTTTATTTATTAGGCCTTCTCTGAAGAAGTTGAAGGCCCTGAGGGTTTCCCACTGGTTTTTAGGTTTCTGGTGACAAAGAATGGGCTGTAGTAAAAGTATTTATCACTTTACAGTTACACCAAAGATTAAAGTTTCAGTTAAAACCAGCTGTAAAAGTGTTTGTTTCATAGTAACACTGAATCTGAAGGTTGGAGTTTTGAAATCAGGACCAGTTCTTGCGTTTCCCTCTCGGTGTTGTAGGTCTCAGCTGAACTCTTTCCCGTAAAGCCTTTTTATTTTTATTTGATCTTTATTAAACCACATTATTTTCAATGACCACCTGGCCAAGAGGCAGCCTTCAAGATGTGAACATATGTTGTGTCTGATTTTATACCTGGTTGGTTTTATACCTGGTTGGTTTTATACCTGGTTGGTTTTATACCTGGTTGGTTTTATACCTTATCTTGTTGCTGTCGAGTCGGAGAAAGTGTAAGTTGGTCATTTCACTGATGCCAATCGGCACGTAGATCAGCTGATTGTGATCCAGACACATTTCTGTCATGGAGTGATGGGTCCCGAAGAACGACTCCGGTTCAATTCCTTCTCCGTCCAGCTTGTTGAAGGACATGTAGAGGTACTCCAGACCAGGGTCCATGTGGGCAAAGACGTAACCTGTGGAGGTTTATAGGGAAAACAGTCGTTGTCCTACTGATCCACGATTGGCTCTGTTAGGATCATACATGTAAATGATATGATGTTCTGTTGCACCCTGAGATTTGAGTTCAGCCTGTTCCTTCAACCTACCGGGTATCCTCTCAATGTTGTTTCCCACCAGAACCAGGTGGACCAAAGATTTGGGCAGGAAAGATGGAACCAGGTAAAACTCATTATGAGACAAGTCAATGGACTCCAAGTTTCTAGAAGAAAGTTGGAAACAAAAAATTATCTGTTATATGGTTCTGAAGAAGTTGCTGCTCATAAGTTTGTGAAAGATTTTAGCTGACAAGTTGATAATTGTCTGACCTGTGGTTGAACCAAGCCATCGGGGCAATCCGGGTCTCATCCAGCTTGTTGTGTCTGAGAGAAACTACATTCAGATTCCCGGTTCGATTGAAAACAGCCTCTGAGATTTCTTCAATCAGGTTGTTCTCAAGATACAGCTCCTAAAAGACAAAAAAAATCAGATCTAGATCCAGATGTTAGCTTGAGGCAACCTAGATAAAGCATTGTGACTGAACAAACCTGTCAGATAGTTTGTGGAAATAAAATGAAATCTGTAGGTTTTGTAAAACAGCTTTTGATCTCTGGTTGTGTGATAAACGAGGGGAGTAGTTTGTACCAGTAAGGACTTGGGAAGGCCCTGTGGAATGGTACGAAAATGGTTTCTTCCCAGTCGGAGGTAGAAGAGCTGCGTTAGAGGAGCGAAGGCCCGAGGATCGACGTTCCCTTCACTTAACAGGTTTCCTTCCAGCTCCAGAGTCACCAGGCTGCTCAGATCTGAATGATTATAGTAGAAGATAAAATCAGAATGGGCCACGTTGTTCAGTGAGTCGACCTGCTCCTGTTTCGTTCTGCAGATAGTTCTGACAATATGTTTTTATCATGTCATTTTCAGACTGTTGTCTGATATGTGCAATTGATTTTTACCATTGTGAGACTCTGAAGGCGATATACATGCATTATCTCAGTACCTTGGAAGCTGTTTTCATCTATTCCTCTCAGTTTGTTCTCGCTGATCTTTAGTTCCTGCAGTGTGGAGGGAAGGTCCGGGGGCACCATGTCCAGGAGGTTCTCGTCCAAGTACAGGCGTCTTAACATCTTCAGGCCCTGACACAAAGAGAATAATCACGGGTCGTTCTTTGAACCATTTACCAATCAGTGTCCGTGCTATCTTCAGTCTGTGATCATTTATAGTTTCTTTAAAGCACTAGCACCTCTCTGCTTGCTCTTAATTAGGACAGACACTTTCCCTCCTGCTCCTGCCCTCCCTCTTGCTTTGCTCTTTGTCCTGTGATTCCTATCGGAGCCTCTCACTACATATCCTCTGAATTGTAAATTATGGATCTGGTCAGCTGGTCTCTCAGCACAACTGATAAAATTTTCTCGACAAGAAGACATGGCCAAGGAGAGCCCTCATGCCCTGAAGGGACACTCGCAGCTGGATATACTATGGATTCCTGAAGCCAGTGGAAACTGATGCGTCTGTCTGTATTGTCCTTTGAAGATGTTGAAGACGCGTACATAACTGTATTTATAATAACAGAAATTCTGCTTTTTGAAGTCGGCAGTCACCTGGTTTATCGACAAATGCGGAAAATGTTGGCAGCTGTTCTGGCCTTGGTAATGCTGCTCGGCTTGTATGAAGGCATGTACCGAGCGGTAAGCTCTCAGACTCAAGATGCTGTGTGAGCTGAGCTGTAAGCTGAACGCGATTTCTGAGAATCGCAGGTCACTTGCGGCTCCTGGGACTCACTGGCAGGAAGGAATCGACCTTGGAGAAGGCTACAAGCTCGGTCCAGTGGTGTGACCACAAAATTTGGCTGTTTGGAATCGCCACTGAGACGAAACGTAGAAACATGGAAATCAAGTAGAATCTGCCTGACCCAAAATATTTGTGTTATCTGAATTTGGCTTCCTCACTCGGCCTTAATTTGGCCAGCTATCTCAAACTCCTGGTTGTTTATGTGAACGAGAAGCTCTGCTCCCCCATCGCTCCCCTCTCGAGGACATCTGTGGATCTGTGTCAGAGTTGAGCTGGCTGATAGACACTGTACCATCTTATCAGGACTATAGAACTTTCTGGCAGTCCATGGACAACTCATTGCCCTCATAGGCCTCGTCATGCATAAATGTATTATGACGTCATTATGTCTGCTGTTTATGTGCGAGGTCTTTTTTTTCCAACTCTCATAGGACAGGACATAGGTCAAGATACAATTTATTTTACCTCCCCTCCCACTTGTGTTTTCTATTTTCCTTACTTTTGTCTATTTGTCTGTATAAAACAGGTCTCACTTATAAATGAGTCTCCGAGGCTCAATGTGATTAATCTGTATAAATAAAGGTTGAATTCATTAATTTATAGTTTCTGTTTAGATTAAATTCACTTTCAGGTAATGTCCAGAACTGCAGGACTGGTAAAAGGTCTTGTAGATTTAGTTTTCCGTGTTGTTTTCATTGAGATGAATAACTCTCCAACATGGCTGATTTCTGAGGTAACCTGCATCAGACAGAATGTAGAGACTGTTCTGGTGCGGTTCGGTGATGTCTTACTTTGAAGACGTTAGCATCGATGCCAGCAGAGGTGAGTTGGTTTTTCTTCAGGTTGATCCATTCCAGGTTGGGAATTCCATTGAAGGCTCCTGCTGGGATGCTGCTGATGTCGTTCCCTGTAGGTCGGTTTATCAGAAAAATGTGAACCATGGCAGGAAGCTGAATAAGATGTTTGTGTTTTTGAGTTACACTGGTTGAACACTGGTTTCAGTTGTGTGTTTGGTTGTTCTTGTTTTTGCCCCTGGCAGTAAGTCCATTTTTCATTTATTGCTTTTTTGGGGGGGGGGGGGGGTGTATATCCAGTAGTGCTTCCAGTTAACTAGACCTTGTTTTAGTTGTGTATGAGGTTTTGTTTTTCTTTTTGGTTGAATATTCAGTTATGTCTGTTTCATGTATTTTTTTTCTCTGTTGTATTGGGTTGTTTTTCTGATTGTGCAGAGTTTCCCCTAGATCAGTTCCCTTGGTGGGGCGCTTGTTGGGTACAGGACAGAGTCACGCCTCTGTTGCCCGCCTGCTAGCTTAGCGCTATGTTGCGATCGATGGTGTTGTCACATCTGTGTTTAGCGCTACGTTTCTGCTGTAATTGTTGACAGGGGGGTTGCGCGAAGCGGTACGTCACTAACATTTTTGTTAACATGTTTGTATTTCACCCCGTACTACTTCAATACCAACAATTGTCCGGGGTGGGGTGGGGGTGGGGGGGTAGGCGGGGCACTCCGTTCTGTTGACGGGGCGGGGCGTCCAACTTGTAGAATGGTAGCGGAAACACTGTTGTGTATTCATTTGTTTTTCAGGTCATGTGTCCGGTTGTTTTACTGATTGTGTATCCGGTTGTGTGTCCAGTTGTTTTACTGATTGTGCATCTGGTTGTTTGTCCGGTTGTTTTACTGATTGTGTATCCGGTTGTGTGTCCGGTTGT